GCTTGGGGAACGCTGCCTTCCTACACAGTTAAAAGGGGCTTCTCAAGGCAGGGGTCCTCAGCTTCTCCTCTGTTGGGCCCATTGTCTCTGCAGGCCAAAGCTCTTCTCATCAAGAAGAGAAGGCCGGGTCCACACCAGGTGTCCCAGGCAATACCTGCGCCGGGGTTCAGAGAAGGCAAAGGAATCAGAGCATGGGACTAGCCTAGGCTCTCAGGCTCCTGGGAACCAAAGAAAGGGAAGGTAGGAGGCCTGTCTGGTCTCATGAGGAGCCAAAGCAGTAACTCTGACCCATACTCAATGGTCTCACCCACTCAGACAACCTTTCCTTAGGGCATTTGGGTCATCAGTTATGAGCCATCAGCCCAGTTCAGTCTGTGTGCCCTCTTGGTGACTTGGGAAGAGCTGGGGCCCCCTGAGCTGCCAGGAGCCTCAATGACCAGGACAGTCCGAAGTTGACTTCTTCCTCCTACACACCTCTGCTCTGAAACACCACTATGAAAGACAAGCAAGAGGTGTCAACGTGAGATCTACACTTGGCCTTGGCCAGAGGGTCGTCTCTGGAAGGCCAAGGCCATGGGCTATTGGTTCTTCCAAACCATCTCTTCTCCAAACCCATTCTGAAAGTTCCAGTCTTCTCTCTCCAGTCAAGAACCTTGGTCACATCGTCTTCCGACAAAATGCCCTCACACTTGAGGTTTTCCACAGGGTCCATCTCTTTTCCATACCCATCTGGCTTTCTTTCTTTTTTTTCCCACTTTTTTTTTGCTCCTCTTGCCCCATCCCTTATAACTGTCTTCAGGTATCCTTTTTCCTCCTTTCCTCCTGGAACTCATTTGCCATCAGGAATCTTCCCTCTACTTCAAGTCTGCCCCTGGCTGTCACGATGTCACCTGTGGGAAAGAAAATTGATGTTTATTGGGCCCTGCAAATATATAATTGGGTATAGTTCCTCAGCACCTTCCCAAGGTCACTATCATTATTATCCCCATTGCACAGATGAGAAAACTGAGGTGTAGAGTTAAGAGTTAAATTACAAACCCAAGACCACATGGTTTCCAAGTGCCAACAGCCCTGTCCATGTAATGTTTATTCAGCAAACTCAATCAGAGGTTGGGAAGAGGCCCCATTCCACCTCAATCCTCCCATCTCCATCTTGAAGATTCTTCAGAACTCGGTGTCTCTACGCATCCACGCCCCAGGTCCTACCCCTACCTACTTCTCACAGGGCCTCTCACATCTTATCATCAACCACATTCTGCCTGCCCCCACCGCGAAGCCCCCAGGTGCCTGCTCAAGGTCACAACCAAGTCATCATCTTCCTCTCTCCTCCACCAGCCTCAGGCCTGTCCTATGGGGAACCCACTCTGTCCCGCGGGAAAGACCCAGAACCGGCAGTTCCTTGTAGCGACTCGAGAGAGAGGCGAACAAGGCCCCGCGGGGCGTCGCCTGCCGAGCGGGAATCCCGGCGCTAACCGCTGGCTCCCTTCTAGGGGCGGGGCGAGGACGGAGGTGGTTCTGCTGCGGCATCTGTCCGAGGCGGGCTGGAAGCTGCTGCATTAAATTGTAAAATCGATTTATTGACTGGCAGGTGCGAGCAGCGGCAGATGGAGAGTAGCGCTGCCGGGGCGCATCTGCGGGGAGCGGCGGCATCGATCCTGGCCCCCCTCCGAAACCCGTCAGTCCTGGTCCTTTCTCTTAGGCTCGCTCCCAATTGCAGGGCCAAGGTCCGCGGAACTGCGGCGCCTAAGCGGCTAGGATAGCTTGGCTCCAACCCCCTCCCCCCTCTTGGCCTCAGGGTCCCGGCTGCGCCCCCGCTGCTGGCAGGCCCTGCCAGCCCCACTGCCCCAGTTGGCACGCGGCGGGCCGGGCTGACGCGTGGCAGCGCCCTGCGGCAGATGAGGCACGCGCCGGCCTCATTTCAATGTGAATGGATCGAATGGAGCAGCCATGTGGCAGCAACAGTTTGCAAATCTCCCCGCCTTCTGTGCAACTCCCCGCCCGCTGCTCCCTGCACGTGGCTCCTTCTCCGCAGCGACCGCAGTGGCGCCCCTCAAGGCTCAAGTGCCCCGCCCAAGCTAGGCCAACTCCCCTGCCTGTGGCCTGCCGGGCGGGCGCTGTGGCCCGGCCCCCACTGTGCTCCTACCTGGTTGTGGTTTGCCCCGCAGAGAACGCTGTCCCGAGTATGTGGGGGAGGGGTGAGGTGGGGAAAACGGCACTGGAGGCCTCGGAACTGCGCCTCCTGCCCTGGGGAGGGCGTGTAGGCTATCCATTGGGGGAGGGATCCCGAAGCTCGACGCGGCCCCTGTCGCACCCCCAAAACCAGGGGTCAGTTTGGAGCACGGCTGGAAAGTAACCTTGGGACTCCTAGCCCCGGGTGCGGATTCTGCCAGCTGGGGGGTTGTTTGCAGCCTGCAAGTGGAGAGGACAGCAGAAGCAGAAGACCCCTGGGGCAGAGGCTGTGGGCCTTGCGTGAAGCCAGGTCTCCACCTTGCTCAGTTCCGGACTCTGGGCAGTGTTTCGGGTGCCGATCGGGGGATGGGGGTGAGAAGCCCTGGACCCTCAGAGGACCCACAGTCAGTCCGGGGGGGAGGGGGCCCAGGTCGGTGGGGGTGAGCGTCTGCATAGCGGCAGGGTCAGCAGACGTCCACGTGGTCCAACCCCACTGTGATTTGCACCCTCCGATTGCCTCACAGCTTCCTACTCCTGGGAGCCCCCAGGGCACGTATTGGGTTCTTCTGTCTGCCAAGTCCCGAGTGGGAGGAAAAGGGAGGGGCCCCAGCTGCTGACCCCCAGCATTTCGTTTCGGTACCCGCAGCCCGGCCCTCTCCTGCTCAGCAAATGTGGGCAAAGCTAGACCCCAGCAGAATGGAGTGCTGGTGAGTATTCAGGGCCGAGGGCTGTGTCCTAGTGGGATAATGAACTTCAGATAGGTGCTTCATAAATGCCCTTTGATGGTGATGCCTTTCCTCTTCAGGTCAGAGGATTCCTAGATCTCTGGGATCCCTTGCATTTCGGGGCTCTGAGGATAATGATGGTACTCACTTTTGTTTGGTCCTTGACTGTTTGCAAAGTGCTTTGGGGCACATTATTCCGGATGTGTATGAGAGGTAGAGAGAGTTTTCCAGATCTACCAATATTGAGCAAGATCCTCCGGTGGGACTGGATGTCTCCCTTGAGAGTCAGGCAAGTGCCAGCGCCAGAAAAGAACCGAGCTTTTATGAACTCTCAGGCCAAGATTTTGGGGGAAGCGCACGAACTAGGTAGGGCAGGACATCAGCTCAGAGAGTGAAGGGCACTCTTTGGTACCCTAGGTATGTCGAGGAGGGACCCGTAGAATATGGGTAGAGAGAGGATGGGAAACCCACTTCTCAGGTTCGTTGGGAGGCAAGCCCCGAGCTTCCCCTCCCTGGGGCCTGGGGACTCCGCCTGTCCATAACCTACATTGACTCTGGAGCGCAGCCTGGGCCCATCTGCCGGCCCCCGCCCCACCTCGGTTCCCCACGCCAACCCGGTCGCGCCAGATGGTGGCTGGGAGGGGTGGCCGTGCGTGGGGGACCCCGGAGCCCATCTCTTCACCTCGCCCCTCCCCCAACCCACGCTCCCAACCTCTTGTTTCTCATCCTGCCCTTCCCCCCCAATCCTCCACCACCACCCCAAGTAAAAAAATCAGACCAAACTCGGCATAGGCAGCTGTTGGGCTCCGCTCTGCGCCTTCCCTCCAGCCTCCCCCGGGCCGCGCCGCGTCCCTACTCCCCCCGCGCAGATCTTATCGCCCGACGACAGCCATCGCTGTGCGGGCGGGCTGACAGCTGAAGCCATCGGGCCCCCGCTGCCCTCAGCGTCGCAGAGAGAGAGCTCTCCGGCACCCCAGAGACTGGGAGAAGCCGGCCCTCCCCGGTCTAAGGCCTCCGGGGATCACGCCAGGTTCCGGGAAAGCAGCTGCACAGCCACGGCTGAGAAGTGCGGCCACCCGGGGGAGCCGCGAAGGCGAGACGGGTGAAACCTCCAGAAACTCAAATGAGTCCATGCGCTTCCAGTTCTACTCTACATCTCGCTCTATGAGGAGAGGACCAGGGTCTGCCCGGCCTCAGCCCTTCACCTTGACTCTCCAGTGGCTTGAGCCAACTCTGGAACCTTGAAGAGTTCCTCCCTGTCCCACCGGAGCGACAGGACGCAGGAGGGGACTTGAGGCTACTGGGTTGGGGGATATAGATGGTGGGCGCTGGAGCAGAAGCTGAACCCAGGTGAGGGGAAGCGCTGGAGGTGGGGCCAGACCCTCATTACCATACAGCTGATGCTCCCCTCCTCTCCTACCTCGGGGACCACGCCCTCTTTCCCCATCTCCGCGACCACGCGTCTTGGGGTTGGCACGCGGGGAGCCCTGGAGGGTTGCAGAAGGGAACAGGCACGCGCTGGACACGCCCCCTGCAACAAGGGAGGGAGACGCCCACCAGGTGGAGGGAGGGAGCCCCTGAGTCTTAGACGCTTGGCCCCTCTCCTTGCCTCGAGTGGCCACAGAGAGATTAATGCGTCCGCTGGCTTCCCTGCTGCGCCGAGGACGCGTCGTGGGTGGGCGCTCACAGGTTGAGGGCCGACAAGGCGAAGGCTCGCGAAGCTCTGTGAAGATCCAAGTCCTTTGGCGCTGGTTTCGCTTTCCAGACATAAGTTCTTTTTACCTGCTCGAGGACTGCAGGTAACAAGCACTGGCTGCCGACGCACCGCCCACGGGGACTCCCCAGTGTCTCCACCCCCACGACCATCCCGGAACCACTCACTCACCTCCCGCCCCATTCTCTCTGCCCCCCCCCGCCCCATTCTCCTGCTGCCGGGGTCTCCACGCATAACCCCGCGATTGCGGAGAACTGGTTATCTCCGCACGCGCAGAGCTGGGGGACCCAGGGGCTGAGAGCAGCACTGAGGGGCGGGGACCTGTGCCTGACTGGTTGGCGGGGAGGGGGGGTTGGCGGGGGCGGAGGCCCCCTCCGGGCGGCGCTGGGGCTGTAGCAGCTAGAGGCCCGGAGGGGAGGGGAGAGTGACCATGAGTCTGAGTGACAGGCAGCGAGGACAGGAGCCAATATATATAAGGAAGGCTCTCGAGCGCGCAGGTTTCAGTAGCGGCGCTGAGCGCAGGCTGGGAACACGAGGCCAAGAGCCACAGCTCAAGCCGCCTCAGGGCACTGTGTCCAGCCACTAGCCGGCTTGCAGTCCCAGGATTAGCCAGAGGACACGTCCTCAGCGCGGCCGCCGCCCAGCCGCCCTCACCTGGATTACCTACTGCCGCAATTTGAGCGGAGCTAGCGAGAAGGCGAGGCGGGAGGAAAGCCCCGAGCGGCGCCTGGCTTTTCAGAGACTCCTCCAGCGGGTGGACACTCGGCGAAGCGGCGTTCCGAACAGAGCCAGCTTCAGGGCGGGCGGGTAGAGAGAGCGACGCCCCAGGGAATGGCAGCCGCGTCCCGTAGCGCCTCTGTTTGGGCGCTACTGTTGCTGGTGGCACTTTGGCAGCAGGTAATGTCCCGCGCCCCCTCCGCCCCCGCCCGCCGCGCTCTGGGCCCGAACCCGGCGTTCGCCGAGCTGACGGCTCTCCCTCCTTCCCTCGTCCCTGTGCAATAGCGCGCGGCGGGCTCCGGAGTCTTCCAGCTGCATCTGCAGGAGTTTGCCAACGAGCGCGGTGTACTGGCCAGCGGGCGGCCGTGCGAACCCGGCTGCCGGACCTTCTTCCGCGTCTGCCTTAAGCACTTCCAGGCGGTCGTCTCACCCGGGCCCTGCACCTTCGGCAGCGTCTCTACACCTGTGTTGGGCACCAACTCCTTCGCGGTCGGGGACGACAGTAGCGGCGGGGGACGCAACCCTCTCCAATTGCCTTTCAATTTCACCTGGCCGGTGAGCACAGCCTGGGCGCACTGGGAGGTCACGAAAGCCGAGAGAAGGCGGCTCCCTGGGACCAAAGCCTTCTCTCCAGACTTCCTCGCTCCCCTCCAAAACAAAACAAAACAAAACAAAACAAGGGGCGTTCTCTTCTGATCCTTTCTTTCCGACTCTCTCATGGGAGGGACCTCATCCTCGGGAAGGCTCTCACCAGTCTCCCTCTTCCCAGTTCTCCGCCCTTTCTTCTCCCAGCTCTTGAGAGACGATTTTCATCACCAACCACCCCGGCGCGTCCCCCACCTCCGAATGGCTCTCGTGTACATTCCCTCATCCCTCAACCCTCCTCCTACCCTGGGTTCTCTTCTCGCCTTCCCTGCTCGCGCGCGAGGCTGCACGCAGACTCGTTATGTTGACCCGGGCGCAGTAACTGTATCCTGCAATTAGATTAATTAAACAGGCTGCAGCAAGGCACCTCCACCTCCCCCATGCTCATCTATCTATCTGTCTTCCCCCGCCCCCTCCTTTCGCTTCCCAGGGTACCTTCTCACTCATCATCGAAGCTTGGCACGCGCCGGGAGACGACCTGCGGCCAGGTGAGTAGCTCTCTCCGCCGCCACAGGGGGGCGACACGGCTCAGCGCCGAAAGAGTTAACCTGTAATAAATAATGGGCCGGGGAAGTGCGGGGTGGAGGGTGGGGGGCAGGACGCGTAGCTCGGCCCGGAGCTGCGCCCCGCGCTGGACGCTCGGATTCCGCCCGCTGCCTGGACTCTGAGCACAATTGCGTTTCCTGCGGGTTATTTTTGGCGTGGGAACGCGGGGAGCACGGCGGTGAGAAAAGGCCGAGGCTGCCAGCGCCGCTGACGGGCCCCTTCCTGTATTTTACACCTTTCGCGAATTCCGCTCCTTTGGAAAGGGAATAATGGCTTTGGGATGTTGTTCTGACACAGAGGAAAAGGATATTTCAGCAGCACAACAATTCTCACTTTGAAAAGGAAAAAGAAAAGCATTACCCATCTCTGAGGGCAGAACCCCTGAATGGGCACCAGGGGACCCCTTGCTCCCAGGGTCCTCCCCAGCATGGAGAACTGTTCTTTTTCTTTTTTTCATTTCTTTCATTCTGCCTTTCCCCCCACCCCCCCCCATTTTGACCCCTTTTCCTCTTTCCCCTGCCTATCTGCCTCCAGAACACTGGGCTATCTTAACATCCTTCTATTGTCCCCCTTTTGAATGGTATCAGGCCACTTGCATATGCACACACACAGGGCAGCTAAGCGATGGGACCCTTGGGTTCCTCTGGCTTGTGCTTACTGGCAGGGGGTCATCTGAATAACTGGTTTGATCCATCAGTTGTTGGCACCCTTGGGGATTGGCTGCCTTTCCTTGACCTGGCCCTCTGCTCCTTCAGAGGCCATGCCACCGAACGCACTCATCAGCAAGATCACCATCCAGGGCTCCCTAGCTGTGGGCCAGAACTGGTTACTGGATGAGCAGACCGGCCCTCTCCCAACAAGGCTGCGCTATTCTTACCGGGTCATCTGCAGTGACAACTACTATGGGGACAGCTGCTCACGCCTGTGCAAGAAGCGCAATGACCACTTCGGCCACTACGTGTGCCAGCCAGATGGCAGCCTGTCCTGCCTGCCAGGCTGGACTGGGGAGTACTGCGAACAGCGTAAGCATCCAAGCTCCCTCCTGCCTGCCTTTAGTAGTGGTGTTGGGGGTGGTGGGGATGTCCCCTGAGGTGGGGGGCAGGGGAAGGTGGCATCTTCTCACCACAGTTTGCTTCCCTCACAGACCATGTCTGGGTTGCCCACTGGCTGGGCCTTAGGAACAGCTGGAGATGCTTAGGACAGTTTGGGCTCAGACCTCTGTCTCCTTAGTACTCCTCCCCATTGTGCCAAAGCCCACAAGGACCCTGTTATTGCATTCCATTTAGCCTGGATTCTCCTTCCCTGTGCCTCTATTTCCCCCTAAGACACCCATGGCAACTCTGGGAGGCCAGGAGTGGCAAGTGAACCGAGGAGAGCTGGGAGCACCCCCAGGGCCAGGAGAGGAAGAATAGGGCTTCACAATTGTTGGTTTCTCAACCTCACCCAGCCCTGTTTTCTTTCCTCAGCTGTCTGTCTTTCTGGCTGTCATGAACAGAATGGCTACTGCAGCAAGCCAGCGGAGTGCATGTAAGTAAGGGACAGGAAGTAGTAGGGGGCTCATCCCCTAGCCAGGTCCTCAGCTCACCCTCAGCCTCTTTTGTTCCTCAGCTGCCGTCCAGGCTGGCAGGGCCGCCTGTGCAATGAGTGCATCCCCCACAACGGCTGTCGCCATGGCACCTGCAGCACCCCCTGGCAATGTACCTGTGATGAGGGCTGGGGAGGCCTATTCTGTGACCAAGGTGAGTCAGGGCAAAGAGGGGATTCAAAGGGATGGGCGAGATGGGCAAGAAGTGGGAGCCAGAATTATCACCTGTACCCTTCTCGCTTGGTGACTACTGAGCAGGCTTTCCCATTATCCTTCAAGGAGCTTGGGACTTTCAAGGGTCTTTACAACTGGCCTAGAATAAGATGGTGGGTCCTTCTTTCTCAGGTGCTGGGGAGGCAGGGTGGCTGGAGAAGCCAGGAGGGTGACAAATTGGCAGGCTGGAGACTGCACTCATAAATTCCAGCAAGGCCAAAGAGAGAGGGATGCCGGGCTCAGTTCCTCTTTCTACCTCAGTTATCTATTAACCCCCTAAGTGTTTGCTTACCTTCCAGGGCTGTTTGAGCAGCTCTCCTCTAAACAGCTGTCTGGTGGGGTGTGCCCACCAGCTGCCTAGAGGTTGTGTGAGCTAGGGCCTCTGGGTGGAGTGACATCTAACTGACTTCTCCGTGTGGGCAGAAACAGCCTCCCTGTTCATTCCTGGTTGCACTTGCCAGGCAGCTGCCTGAGCCCACACTGTCTCTTCCTGGTGTTTGATGAGGCTGGTCACTCTTCTGGCTATACAGGGGTCTGCCAGCCACAACTGTGGGGGAGGGAGCTTTTATCTCCATTCTGGGAGCCAGCTGCAGCATGTGCCTCCCATTTTCAGGGTCAAATGGAGTGGCTGCTGCCATGGAAACACCAGCACAAGCCTGGATAGGGTGGGCAGGGGGCTTGCCAGGAAAGAAAACTTGCCTAGTCCCTAACTCGCTGGCAACAAGGGGCTTGGAATTCAGCCCCTGTATTCTTTGTGCTTGTGTGTTGCTTTCTCCCCTCCCCCCACCCCCACCCCCCCACACACCTGGTTCCTTGCCATTCTTTTTCCTTTGCCCACATTTGCTCCCAGGTGACATAGTCATATACTCATCGTATGCAAACACAGCCCTCACAGTCTCTATATTTGCTCTGTCTAGTTCTCCCTCCCTGTCCTTCCCAAATAAGGAAACAAATATTTATACTTCAAAATGCCCTCATAACGAATTCCCCTTTTAAAAATGCCTGGTCACTACCTACGGTGGCTCCTCTCCGCTACTGTTTCTACCTATTAAAATGTTATCCCTCCTTCCAGGGTTACTCAGCTGCCCCTCCTCCATGAAGCCCTTTCTGACTTTCTCCTCAACATGTGGCCTTGCCATCCACTCCTCTTCCTTACCTTCATTCTGTTCTGCCTGCCAGTGTTCGTGAGCTTACCTGGCAGGCAGTGAGTTGTTCATTTGTATTTTTCAACTGTGATTGCACTGGTCGGATGTGGTTCAAGGTGCTTCATATCATGATTTCATTGGGGGAGGAGGAAGGGTATTTGGGCCTGGAAGACTGAGTTGAGGCCTCTGGGCCAAACATGGGCAGTGAACTTGCACCACAAGGAGCCTGAAGATGGGGACAATTCTCTGGCTCTGCTCAGTTGGTGGGTTCCTGTCTTTGCAGATCTCAACTATTGTACGCACCACTCCCCATGCAAGAATGGGGCAACATGCTCCAACAGTGGGCAGCGGAGCTACACTTGCACTTGTCGCCCAGGCTACACTGGTGTGGACTGTGAGCTGAAACTCAGCGAGTGTGACAGCAACCCCTGTCGCAATGGAGGCAGCTGTAAGGTGAGGTCCAGGCCAACAAAGGAAGGCAGAGGTCTGGTTAGGTGGTGCCTTAGCGTCCTCACCCCAGGTGGTCCATGGATATGCAGTCATGGGCAAGCATTGTGGGCAGGTGGGACCTAACCCCCAGCCATGCATCCCTGCCACCCAGGGTCTGACTTTGGCCCCTTTCTGGTCTCTCTCCAGGACAAAGAAGATGGCTACCACTGCTTGTGTCCCCCAGGCTACTATGGTCTACACTGTGAACACAGCACCTTGAGCTGTGCTGACTCCCCTTGCTTCAATGGGGGCTCCTGCCAGGAGCGCAACCAGGGGGCCAGCTATGCCTGCGAATGCCCCCCCAACTTCACTGGCTCTAACTGCGAGAAGAAAGTGGACAGATGTACCAGTAACCCATGTGCCAATGGTGCGTCTTGTTGCCTTGTTAACCTTGTATACCAGCCCTTGTTAACCTGGTATACCAGCCCTGGGGAAAAGAGAGCCTTCTGTAAGGGAGGGTCAGGAGAGGAGAGAGGCCTTGTCTGTAACTCTGGGCAGGATGAGATGGGTCCCCATCTATTTTGGATGGCGAAGAGCTTGCTTGATCAGCTGGGTGGCTTTGAAAGAGGAGTAGGTTAACAGTGGGTGCACCTTGTGTGGCTTCCATTCCTATTCCCATGTCAGAGGTCTGACCCTGCTGTGGTGGCCTCTGACCCTCCCCAGGAAGTCTTGGGCTAGAGAGAGGGACATTGGAGGCCTTGTGTCCCTCCTCAAGGGAGGCTGGTGCAGTCAGGGCCCTGCTCCTGAAGGCCTCACATTGCCCCATGGCCACGTGGAGCCTGGTATGGCACAGGACATCTAGAATGTTGAGCATCTTTTGGGATGCAAAGCATGCTGGTTATCTTTGTCTCCTTGGTCTCCTGGTGACCCACCTGGAGGCAGGCGAACAGCACAATGCAAGAGAGGAGCCTCAGGAGCTGCTGAAGAGGGATTAGAAGGGCTGAGATGGAGTCTGCTCTAGGGCTAGTCACTTAGTTAACTCCCTGGAACCACAGTTTCTTCATCACTGAATGGGAAATATATATGTCCTCTGCCTTGCATGTGCTTCTGAAGATTAAATGAAGCAATAATCATTACATTTATTTGAGCATTTACTATAAACCAGGGATGTGCTTCTGTCCTCATGCATCATTTCACCTAACCCTCAGAGACCTCCTATGGAGGGGATAGCATTGTACTCCAATTTAACAAATGAGGAAACTGAGGCTTAGAAATAAGGTAAAGCAACAGGTGCCAGATTCCCAGCTAGAGACAGCTGAGATTCAAACCCAATCATATCTGTCTGATTCTACTGTAAAGCTCTGTGAGATGCTAGTAATTTTTATACATGAGCCCACAAAGGCGTAGCGACCAGGGTCACCTCAACTCCAAGTCTCCTGACTTTTTATGCAGTGCCTTTGTAGTTGGACCTGTAAATGCTGGCTGCGTTCATGGATGCAAAGGACCTGAGCTTGTTCCTGGGATGGAGCACTCACCCTCTGCACCAGAGGGGTTCCCAGGTGATTGCTGACTTGTGCCCTGTGTGTACCCACAGGGGGCCAGTGCCTGAATCGAGGTCCGAACCGCATATGCCGCTGCCGTCCTGGATTCACAGGCACCCACTGTGAACTCCACATCAGCGACTGTGCCCGCAACCCTTGCGCCCATGGCGGCACTTGCCATGACCTGGAGAATGGGCTCGTGTGCACCTGCCCTGCTGGCTTCTCTGGCCGGCGTTGTGAGGTGCGGACACCCAGCGACGCCTGTGCCTCAGGACCCTGCTTAAATGGGGCCACCTGCTACACTGACCTCTCCCCGGAAAATTTCGTCTGCAACTGCCCATATGGCTTTGTGGGCATCCACTGCCAGTTCTCTATGAGCATACCACCTAGCTTCCCCTGGGTGGCTGTCTCCTTAGGTGTGGGGCTGGTGGTGGTACTGGTGTTGCTGGGCATGGTGGCAGTGGCTGTGCGGCAGCTGCGGCTTCGGCGGCCGGACAACGGCAGCAGGGAGGCCATGAACAACTTGTCGGACTTCCAAAAGGACAACCTAATTCCTGCTGCCCAGCTCAAGAACACAAACCAGAAGAAGGAGCTAGAAGTGGACTGTGGCCTGGACAAGTCCAACTGTGGCAAACAGCAGAACCACACATTGGACTATAATCTGGCCCCAGGGCCCCTGGGACGGGGGACCATGCTGGGGAAGTATTCCCACAGTGACAAGAGCTTAGGGGAGAAGGCGCCACTGCGGTTACACAGGTGAGCAGCACCTGGAGGTCTAGGGCCTGGCCACAGGCCCCTGTGTGGTATTGCCTGGGCTGCCCCCGGGCAGGTGGGAGGCTGGCACCAGGACCGTGACTGCTTATAAGCAAACAAGGCTTTGCTACTGATCTTCCAACAGGATTTCTGCCAGAGGTTTTTTTTTTTTTGTCCCTAATTCATTCATTCACAAATGTCAAGTGTCCACACTATGTCATTCCATGTCATGGCTTGCCTCTAGTGGTAATACAGGCCTGAGACCCTCTGATAAGGTTGGGGGTCCTGTGGGTCTTTTAGGGGCCTATTCCTAACTGCCCCCCAGGCTAACAATGGGCATCCCAAGTCCCCGTGTCTCTCCCAGAGCCACTTCTGCCAGTGCCCTTTGGCTCTCCAGGGTCCGGGTTAATGCCCCCGCCCTCCACCAGCCTTCTCCCTATCCCTCCCTCAGCGACCTGTCTTGTGTTCCCTCAGTGAAAAGCCAGAGTGTCGGATATCAGCGATATGTTCCCCCAGGGACTCCATGTACCAGTCTGTGTGTTTGATATCAGAGGAGAGGAACGAATGTGTCATTGCCACGGAGGTGAGTGCTGGGCTCACCTGCCCTTCCAGCACATCCCCTCCTGCCTTTTGGGAATGGGAAAGTAGCCTGGTTACTCTTGGCCCTAGAGGCCACTCTGAGGTGGGTCAGGACCCTTTTTTGGCAGGCCAAGTTCATTGGCTCTCGGGTCCCTGCTGGCCTTTTTGCCACAGAGGGTGTGAAACAGGAGCTGTGCTGGTGAGCCAGGCCTGGTCTCTTCCTGCTGTGTTAAGTGTTGGGCTGGGCGGCTGTGGCACCTGGCCAGCTCCCAGGCACTGCTTCCCAGCTGCTGGTGGGTGACCGTGGCTGCCTTGTGCCCCTCCTGCCCCTTCTCGCTGGCTTTCTCCACTGGCCCACCTTATGAGCACAGACTCCCAGGCGTGTGTGTGTGCTGGGGCTGAAGACCGGGGAGGGCTGCCCTACTTCCCCTCCATCCCACCTGCCCCATGGTCTCCCAGGAAGGCCCAGGGCAGTCACGGAAGGAGGGCTTGTACCCCAGGGTAACCTACTCACCCACTCTCCACATGCTCCCCAGGTATAAGGTAGGAGCCTCCCAGGACATCCCAGCTTGGCCCAGCAGCTAGAGCTTCCTTCTGCATTGTTTACATTGCATCCTGGATGGGACATTTTTAATACGCAACGTGCTGCTCTCAGGAGGAAGAGGGAATGGCATGAACTGGACAGACTGTGAACTTGCCAAGAGATGCAGTACTTTCCACACTTTTGGGTGTCTGTCTGGCATCAGATTGGCAGCCACGCCAGCCAGGGGAACAGAGAAGAGGAGAGGTGCCACTTGGATCTGCCTTGCCAGCGGTGGTCGTCAGAGGGTTCCTTTGGGGCTCTGGCCTATTTTCTAGAGGGAGTAGCAGTGGTCCTGTGGGGCCTGGAGCTGCAGTGGCCTCCACTGGCATCTGTGTTTCCAAAAGTGCCTTTGGCCCAGGCTTTATGGCGACAGCTGGGTCCAAATCAGAAAGGAGAGAGGAGGCCAGTAAGGGCAGGGCCATCTGTGGGCGAGGAAACCATTGGGTGCGGCTCTTGGCAGGAGTTGCTCTGCAGGTGAGGTAAGCGCCCGGAGCGGGAGGAGCACTTGCTGCCTCATGCCTCCAATTACTGCATGTGGGCCTTGCTCATAACACAACCCAGCCTGTCCCTGGCCCAGGCCCTCTGGGCAAGGATGTTGGTAAGCCTTACCTGGCTTCCACAGCCTGCAGCCTTAGGTATCTCTGGGCTCCTGTGAGAAGACAGGTGGAGGGCCAGCCAGGGGTGCCAGGCCTATGTGGGGAGCTCAGGGCAGTGATGTTGGAAATTGCAGTGAGAGAGAAACTGGGTGTTGTCATCACCTAGGCCCATTCCTATGGCCTTGAGCCTGGGCTCTGCCCATGCCCACTGCTGCCCCCAGCTGATCTTCAGAAATCAATAATATGAGTTTTTATTTTGTTTGTTTTTTGTAGTTTATTTTGGAGTCTAGTATTTCAGTAATTTAAGAATCAGAAGCACTGACCTTTCTACATTTTATAACATTATTTTGTATATAATGTGTATTTATAATATGGAACAGATGTGTACAGGAATTTATTACTTCTTGGGTCCTGTCTTTGTGATGGCCGAGGAGGGAATTCTCTCCCCGTCCTCTCTGACGCCCCTTTTCATATTGATGCCAGCTGCTCCACAAGAACCCCTGGGACCTGTGCATGCAGTTGGGCTTGGCCTCTGTGCCTCAGGCTCTTGTTGGCTTCCAGTCCTTGGGGAGCCTGGCTGCGCCCATTTAGTCCTCAGCCTAGGCCAGCCTTCCCTGCCTGAGAGTTGGAGGCTGGCTGTGGCTCCCCATTCCCCTTCTGCTCCCACCATTTCTTGGGGGATATGCCCCCTGACCTGAATCTATCCCCCTTTTCTCTCTTCAAGTCTGAAAAAGCTTGTGGGCTCCTGAGTCAACCTGGGGGATACAGAAATTTGGGGGAAGGGGACAATCTTGCCTGTTTTCCTTTTTTCAAAAGATTCTCTAGTTGGAGAATGGTGTCTCTGAACCATGATGATACCTGGGTCCTTCCTCCTGCCAATTTTAGATGGGCTGGCATGCTACTCTTTTTTCAGGTCCAGCAGGGCACTCGTCTTTGGGGCGGGGGATTTGCCTTGGGTCTGTCCTCCTTGCAGCTGGGCAAGAGAGCTGAGTCTGGGTACTTGGTTTGCCCAGGGCTGCCGGAGTTTATTGAAGACTGCAAGGAGGGGAGGAGGGGGTGATGGCCTTCCCTGAGTCCAGGTTTCTCTGACTGAGGCACTAATGAGGGAATTTCCAGCCTCACCTTCATGTCTTGCTTCCTCTAAGGCGAAAGATGGTCCTAAGCTACCACAGTCCTCTCTCTACAGCCACAGACATACCCCAAGGAGAGCAAATGACGAAAAAATAAATAAAAATGAGCCATTGACATAAAGCCGAGCAGAAGCTGCCAGCTCTCAGTCTGTCCACAGTAAGGCAAAATACTCACCAGATGCTCCCAGTGGAGTCCAAGGATATGCAGCGCTACTTGCCTCCCTTTTTCCCTTTCTCCCTGACATACAGCTTGCCCGCCCCTGGTCTGGGTGCCTACAGCAGAAACATGGGAGCCAGAGATCTAGGCTCATCCCACTCCCGGCACACACAGGCTCCACGTCTTGCTCATTGCTCCCTGTTCCCCTTGCTGCACACACAGGGTATCAAACAGGAAAGCATTCAGGGAACTGTTCCCACAGCCTGAGCCGGCAGCCGGGGGAAGAACAACACGACCTCACTCTTCCTGCCCAAAATGAAACAGGAAAGCGGCTCCCGGGCCCTGGGGGGCGGGGGAAACTGGGTTGGGACACGAAGGCGAGATGACGAGGCTCCCATGTGGGGGACAGGTAGGACACCCGCAGGCCTGCACGTCCACACCACTGGGCTGTGCTGGACTGCACGGGTTGCCAGCCTCTCAGAGAACAGACCTGGAGAGGAGCTGGCTGGCTAACCCTACTCACTGGCTCTAATACTCTAGTCAGGGAACTGGAAGAGTCCACCACGTCAGGCAAGAGGGGATCCATGTGTGGACTTGGTCTGGGCAGCTCCAGCCTGTACCTCATGCCAGGCTCCACCTTTAGTGACATGGCAGAAGCTGGACAAGGCACTTGGGTGTGAACAGGACACAGTGGAAGCCCTCCTCTCCCCAGGATTTCCAGGAGGTCACTCCCTGAAGGACCAGCCCCTTCTCATAGGAAAGGTGCCCAAGACTTTTCTGACAGTGTCCAGGTGCACAGGTGAGGTCCCAGGCTTGGCAGAAACAAGGCCAGATGATAGCTCTAGACTCACTCAAGTGTTTTCCATAGCTTAGCGAATGTCCACGTTTAATCTGCATGGGTATTTTACAAGAGAATTCAGGGTTTAGCAGTTCCTTAACAGCCTACAGGATAAGTCTGACCCCACAGTGACCTCCAGCTCTGAGGACAGCTGCGTTTCCAGGTCCCACTAGCTGGGAACCACCTGGATATCGCTGTGGGGTGGTGAGTCAGGGAGACTGTAAAGAAGGAAGGAATGCCTTTCTTTATCCTGCTTGCTCAGCCAGAGTCCCCTCTGCTGCCTCAAGGCCACGGTCAACTGGTCAGGGCGTGGAAAAAAAGGCCAGTGGCTCCTACGTCCCCCCATCCCAGGCTAGATAAGGCCACTAAACTCAGGTAGTATGGATTCTCCAACACTGATGGGGACCCACAAGCCTCTCCCCTCCTTGAAGCACTCCCAGCCTCTCCGCGTGGGTCCCCAGGATCTGCAGACCCAGCCCTCCACCCCACGTGGTCTGCTGCATTCCGGGAAAGGGATGGAAGTGATTCACTCAGGGAACTGTGACTGTCCCTTCCCGGGGAGAGGATGCGCCTGCGAGGTCCCAGCAGCCTTCCCTGGGCGGCCGCGCCCTAGCTCGCGCCCAGAGCGCCCAGTTCGGCCCCGTGGTCCGGCCGGATCCCGATGGGTCCGGAGCCACTAGCGCAGCGGAAGAGGCAGGTGCGGCGCGCTGACCCGGTCAGTGCTCCACCTGCCGCGGCCGCCGCCGGGCGCCCCGGAGGTCCCGGGCTCCCCGCCCCCCGCGTTCTTTGTTACAGCCCGACTTCCTGTTTGCCGCCTCCCGACCCCGGCTCATTTCCCGGGCCGGGAAGCCGCCGAAGGCCGCGAGTTTCTCGAAGACTATCCCGCCCGCTCGGCTCCGCCTCCCGCACCCCAGAATCCCGCCCTTGGCCTGGGAGCCCGCCCGGGCTGCAGTGAAGGCATCAGGGCTGTGCACCAGAGGGCGCTGCGAGGCCGTCCGGGCAGCGCACCGATGGGGCCGCGGGCCACTCCAGACTCCGGGGTCAGCTCTTCTCCGTCCTGTGGCCCATGGGACCAGCCAGGGAGCGGCAGCCAGATGCGAATTCACTTTTCGTGCTTGTCGCGCAGAGTTCCCTCCAGGCCTCGAGTCCCTAAGCCGAGTAAACTAGAGGGCTCAGTGCGACGTTTTCCCCTAAATATACCTCAGGGCGTCCAAAGAAGCAAGGCCCGATCGTGTACTCTGAGCCATGGCAGCAACCAGCTCTCTCCCCACTTCCAGATTTCAGTCCTCCGGTCATCCTCGCCTGTGGGGACCCTGAATAGAAGGGGACCGGCTGGAAAGGGCACCGGTTTTGAGTGGGGAGACTGAAGCTCCCTGCCAGCACCACCTCTCATTGCCAGGTGACCTGGGACAGGTCCATTTCTTCATTCCTTCCACACTGTTTGAGCACCCTTTATATGCCAGGCATTGGCGATAAAACATGGTCACTGCCCAAGGTAGTTAACCATCCAGTTAATTATTTTTTCCCTCTCCAAGAATACCTCTTGCGCATTACTGTGAGGTTGAAATGAGTTAGTGTTTGAAAATATTTGTGAGCAATGAGTTCTTTCACTAGTTGGTTAAATCTTCTCAAGCTATGCTAGCAAGCCACAGGATGGGGGTGGGCTAGAGAGGAGCTTAGAGTGTAGCTGGATGGATTCAGCAGCAGCCCTAAGACCAGGAAAGCAGCTGAGATCCCAGGCTGCCTCCACCATCGCTTCCTTCTGTGTCCCTGTCTTTAAGGAACACCACTAATCTAGGTCAGCCTCCTCTGATATGGGAAGTAGTGGAAGGAAGACCCTGGCTGTGGGGAAGGGACAGCAGGACCCCAAGTCTTCAAGAGTCCCCTTCCCCTTGGAGATCTGCCACAAGTGGCTTTTGCCATCTTTTCCTTGGCCTCAGGGGCCCTGCACACTTTATCACTCAGGCCAAGAGTGGGCTCAGCCTATTCCCTTTATCCCAAAGACCCTCTGAGGCCACAACACAGGGTCCGTAAAGCCAGCTGAGGTTATGGCCAGATGCAAGGTAACTGGCATCTCAGAAGTCTGGATTTAGCAACAGGTTAGCTCTGGGCCCAAGCCGTTGTGTCATAGTACCCCCTGCAGGGCAGAGCCAAAACCCTGCCAGGCCTGGCCAGCCTGTCTGTTTCCAGTGATTCCTCCTCCTGGCTCAGGTTGGAGGCAAAGCAAGCTCGGGGGGTTAGCAGAAAGGCATGTACCAGTTGGCTTGTCCAAGGATTGATGTCCCTTTTCCATAGTGGCAGAATTCTGGGCCAGGCCCATCATACTAGGCCCGGTCTGTTCAGTTTCATCTCCATCAGTGACTCCCTTCACTCAGTGCTTCCTCCTTCTTTAAAAAAATTTTTTTTTTAATTGGGGAACAGTGTGTTTTTCCAGGACCCATCAGCTCCAAGTCAAGTAGTTGTTTCAATCTAGTTGTGGAGGGTACAACTCAGTGGCCCATGTGGGGATCGAACTGGCAACCTTGGTGTTACAAGCACTGCGCTCTAACCAACTGAGCTAACCTGCTGCCCCCAGTGCTTCCTCTTCTATCCCTCTGGTAAAAGCGATCTCAAAGGTTTTGGGATCTACTTCCCATTCTCAATAGGTCCTTGGAGAATGGTGTTCCAGCTGCTTTCATTTAAGGGGCTTCACTTGCTTGGCTCTTTGTGGGCCTCAGAGTCTGCCCCCACAGTTAGGACCATTTCAAGCAGTCATAATTCTCCACATAGGCTGGTTTTCTAGGGTTCTCTTCTAAAGCCAGGTCCTACTATACTGCAGCATTTTCATGGGGTCTGACATTTGACTCTGACCCCATGGGCCTCCTCTCTGTGCAGCCCTGTCACTCCTGTGAAACGCTCTCTTCTGCAACTCTCCTTAGCCCTGTAGCCAGCCACTTCCTGCCCCCACAACACTCACCTTAGAATTGGGAGAGAGGCCCCACCATCCCAACTCTCTGTTGGAGCCCTGGCTTCTTCCTTTCCAGGTAGACTAGGCCAGGTCTGAATAACTGGAACCCTGGCTATGCCAGGGTACCCAATCAGCTGCATCTTTCTCCCTCCTTGGAAGCTAGAAGTGGGCAGGGAGCCAGGTTTTCCCACCATCCCATGAATCCTTCTGCCAGGGCATGGATGAATCCTTACAGTCCCTGCTTTTGTAGACAGGGGACCAATGTATCCTTAGCCCCTTGGCCCTGGATTCAGGTGGCATAACCAACAGAGCAGCCCTCTTCTCTTCTCTCTCTCTTCTGAGGTGGACTGTATTGAGGAATTCAGTTACTTCTTCCCATCCTTTTGCCAGAGTGTTGGTGGGACTTAGGAGGTCTGACAATCAAGTTCCTGAACTTGTTGCAACAATGTTGCTAACCTTTTTTGATATCAGAGGGATTATTCATTATGAATATGTACCAACTGGAGAAACAGTTAACCAAGTTTACTATTTGGAAGTGCTGAAAAGGCTGTGTGAGAAAGTTAGACGACCTGAACTTGTTACCAATAATTCATGGCTCGTGCATCAGACAATGCACCAGCTCTCACAGCATTGTCTGTGAGGGGGTTTTTAGCCAGTAAACAAATAACTGTGTTGGAACACCCTCCCTACTCACCTGATCTGGCCCCCAATGACCTCTTTCTTTACCCAAAGATAAAGGAAATATTGAAAGGAAGACATTTTGATGACATTTAGGACATCAAGTGTAATCTGACAACAGCTCTGATGGCCATTCCATAAAGAGTTCCAAAATTGCTTTGAAGGGTGTACTAGGTGCTGGTGTCGGTGCATAGCTTCCCAAGGGGAGTACTTCGAAGGTGACTATAGTGATATTCAGCAATGAGGTAGGTAGCACTTTTTCTAGGATGAATTCGCGACCAATTGTCCGACCTCATATATTTATATTTCTTATTATAAATCACAATATCACAGTAGACTATGGTTTTACCCTGAATAAAATGGAAAGTGAAAAGTCTGGAGTAAAATAACAAGGAGACAATGTGTACCTTGTGCTATCACGTACCAGGTGCTGGTTATGTTGTCATTGTTTTCAGTCCTCATCAGAACCTACAACATACTATTATTTCCCATTTCACAGTTGAGAAAACTAAAGACCAGAGACAGTGTGCCTGGGGTTCACTCAGATGGTAAATGGTGGCGTAAGGCTCAAATCTGGGCAAGCTGGGCTTAGAGGCCATGTCTGGAAAGGTTTTTCACCCGCTGGAATCAGCAGCTTTTTAAAGCAACTTCATCATTTAGCATAATAAACTAGCATGGCCCCCAGCTCCTAAAACACACTCTTCCATTGTTTCAGACAATGTGGGCACTAACACCAGAAGTTGATTGCAGTGACTAGAATGAGAGATGAGAAACAAATCATAAGGACATGAGAAGTGACTGCCTGAAACAATAAGGAAAAATTAATTTGGGAAAGGTCCAAAAAAGGAAGCCACCATGTGCATATCATGTGCAATTTTTCAAGGTGGAGGTGATGCTCTCTCATCACCTCTCACACGCTGGTACCTCTGTGGGCATGACATCTGCAGCCCCTTCTTGAGGGTATTTTAGGAGGAAAGATGGGATGGTTGTTGCAGTTAGAGAGGAACCAGCTGAGTGAGTGGTTTATTGTCTGGGAGTGTCCCACTGGGAGGGAAGGAGACAGATGTTGTTGGCAAGGGTAAGGAAGGAATGGCAGTAAGACATGTTCCCGGGAAGGTGGCCAAGACCCCTAGGCCAACTTTTGTGGGGATTCCTATTTTGAGAAGTTCACGGTTAAACCTGTCTTGCAGGATTCCTTCTCTTCTGAACCCCAGGGTGCCTTGGCTTTTTCCAAGTAAGAGAGCTTCACTTCTACTTTCCATGAGCCAGCATATATTGGCTCCCTTGGTCCTTCAAAGATGAAGTCTGCTCTCAGGGAGCTCTCAGGTTTGGGGGAGGCAAGATATCACATGCTTATTAGCCAGTAGGCTCTGGGGTTGGACTACCTGCCTTCAGTCTCAGGTTCCACGACTTGCCGTGTCACCATGAGTAGATTACATAAATTTCCTGTGTTCGTCTGTTTCAATTTGCTCATCTGTGAGATGATATTCATCTCACAAAGCAGTGGAGACGTTTGTAATTAGAATAGATGTAAAAGCACTTAGAAACTGGAGCCAATCCTGTCCCTCACGACAATTTAAAAATTATTTGAGAGCCATGAATATATTTTTACATAATCACTATTATGTGAATAATATCCTTTAAAAATTTTATAAATGAAACTATGATAGTTTAATTTTCATTTTCAATTTTACTGCAGAGCCTGCGGCTCGCGAGCTGTAGTTTGCTGACCCCTGGCGGCTCTTCCATCTCAAAAGTTTGCAGACCCTGGCCTAGCTCATGGTAAGTTCACAATAAATGATTGTTTCTGTTATAAGCATGAGGTGGAGGGAACAGAAAAATAAACAGAAATTGAGGTAAGAGGTTGTGGGAGCACTGAGGAGGGAGTGCCTAACTCTGCCTGGAGCACGAGCTGGTTACTGATGACCTTACCAAAGGAATTATTAAAACCTGGGGCTTTGGTCCCGGTGGGAGGAAGTCTCAGAATGGGCATCTCAAAAATGTTCTCCAGGAGACTCTGCTATGTTATCTGCCCCTTAGCTACCAGAAAACTATCAACTACTCTTTAAAAGGAATTTTTATCATTAAATGTATACTTCAGGGTGACCACTCGGCTCAGTTGGTTAGAGCATGGTGCTGATGACGCCAAGGTTGCCGGTTTGGTCCCTGCGTGGGCTACTGTGAGCTGCGCCCTCCCTAAAGAAGAGTCAGCTATGCCATTGTAGCATGAAAGTAATGTGTGACCAATGACCATGCTGTTACCCAATAAAATTAAAAAAAAAGGATACTTCATAAGCCTTAGAAAATAGAGAAAAGGATCATCCAAAATCCCAATACCTGAATACATCAATCATTAGTATACGGTTCCCCACCATCTTTTTCCTCATGCATCTTGTTTTTGTTGTTTTAATAGTTTTAATTATAGTGCACGTGATAGTCACATTTTGCATTACTATGCAATCATAGGTATTTTTACTATGTTGTTTTTCATAATGGATTTTTATTTTTATTTATTTATTTTTTTTCTAAATAGAAATGGATTATGTTCTCTTTTAAAAAATCCCAGACAATCTGAATTGGTATAAAAAAAGAAAGTGCAAATCTCATGTAGTCCTACTACTCAGAGGTCATCACTGATCATGTTTCTGTGTTCTTCCAGATTTTTTTTCTAACCAAAGAAACACATACAGACTTAAGTTTAAAGAGTTATATTAGGTTATTTTATAACCTGCTTTTTCACTTAATTATACGTCATAGATAGGTTTCCATGTCAATATGTATAGGCATATATAATTGTTTCTAATGACTGCACAGATTTAATTTTATGTCTGTATTAAATTTATGTAACTTATTCTCTATCGTTGGATATTTGCTTGCTTGCTTTCTTTCTTTGTGTGTGTGTGTGTGTGTGTGTGTGTGTGTGTGTGTGTGTGTGTGTGTATTTCTCCACCATGTGGATTGACCAGAATTTACTTAAACATTTAGCTATTTTTGGATATTTAAGTAGCTTTTCTTCTTTTGTTTTTCCTATAATAAATAACAATGCATTGAAAAATCTTCAGGCATACAGCTTTCCCCATATTTTGAATAATTTCCTGGAGTGGAAGTATTGGTCAAAGGGCAGGGACATTTCATGATTCTTGATTTGTATCAGCAAGCTGCTTTTTCAAAGGGTTGTTTGTGTCAATTCAGATACTTCCAGCAAGGTGTTCATACCAGTTTCTCTGGCTCTCATCCAACTACCCAAAGGTGGTAGATGGAGGGGGGATATTCTCCCTCAGAAGCTAGCAGCAAAGGAGGGGTCATAGGGGACAAGATAGAGAGCAGAGGAGAAGAGGGGAAAGTAAACACGGGGAATGGAGGGAAAGAGAAAGGAATAACCAGAAACAACCATTTTACCTGTAATTTTTTCCAATTAGAAAACTAATTCATGCTCCTTGTAAAAACCCCAAACTTTTACATAAATGTTTACATTTAATATTGAAAGTCCTCCTCTGGAGACAGGTTCTGCTAACAGTTTAGATATATTCTTCCAGGTCATTATTTATTTATTTTACAAACATTAATGTATAATTTGTTTTGTTTTGAAAGAACTAGCTTCATACTGTACACACCATGGTGCAACATTCCTACTGCAGAATATGTCTTAGGCACCTTTGGAATAACTACTTTAAGTGTGCAGATAGTTTCTAGTTTAAATATCTAATTAGAATCGAATGAGATGCAATATTGCTCACTTCCCCTGCCAGTGGGCTCACCCGGAACCTCATCAGCAGTCCCGTGCAGGACAGGCCTTCTGCCCTTTCCTTTTTCCAGCCAGAGATGTATCCCCAGAGGGACAGCCTCTTGCCGCTGCTTAGGGGGTCAACTCCAGGCGGCCTGAGGACCCTCTGTCAGTGCGGAGGCTGGTAGGTGCTCACAGTCCTCTGAGAGCCTGAACTTGGCCTTCCTTGGGTCCGCTGCTCCCCGAACCTCGGTTCCTAAGGATTAACTCAACCATTGATGCAAAAGTCTCATGTATCCGGAGAACTAAACCCACAGCCTCAGGGTAGGACGGGTCTGGCTTTCCTGTTTTTATGGCCTCTCTCCGCAGGTCCCACCACCACCACCAAAGTGACGGCGGCATTTTCAAGCTCTGACTGGCTCTTCCTCAGCCTACCTGGGCTCAGGAAGTCCCACTCCTGGCCCGAAGCTAGCCCTCACTGAGGCCCGCAAGCTCACGGCGCCCGTCCTGGCTCACCGTCGCAGCCTCTGCAGAATCCTTTGTCAGCCCCGTGACTCAGTTTCTCCATTTGCTCACGCGGGCCAACAGCGTGAGGCACCTGTGCGGAATGCGGAGGTGCCTCCGACGGTTTCTTCAGAGTCGTACTCCCAGCCGGACGGAGCTCCAGAGACAGGCATTTACGCCGCCCAGAGAGCTCCTTCTGGCCATGCCCTGCACTAACCCTGGTGAGTCCGTGCTGCCTGGGGTGGCAGTGACTCAGCCAGGTGCACCTGCAGGACTGCTGGGGAGACATAACCTGAGACCCGCCTGCCGTGGTTCCGGAAGGGCCCAGGTCATAGAGGGGCTGCAGGGAGACGACCAGTGCCCGCGTCCGTGCCCACTGCCCGCCGCCTGACGCAATCCGAGGCGCCCTTGCTGCACGCCAAAGCTGGGGAAACCTCCCCCGCGGTTGCATCACTCCTGACAGATTTTTCTACAGAGATGGAGCTGAACCAATCAGCGGGCGCGCTGGACCAGGGGCAGGCGGCTCAATTACCCACTCAGAGGGCGGCGCGGTTAACCGGGCAGCAAAATCCAAAGGTAATTGGCCAAAAGGGGATTTTCCCCGCCCCAATCACCGCGGCAGCTGGCCGTGGTAGGCAGGGCCCGCCAGCCGGAGGGTTTATAAAGGACCTTGGCAGGGGCCGCGCAGCTGGAGCGACCAAGCGGTGCCAGGCCAGGTGTGCGCGTCCGTCGGTCCTTCCGTGCCCCCGCCGGAGACCTGCCCCGGAGGCCGCCCGGGCCCGTCCCTGTGCCCGGCACCATGAAACAGGAGTCTGCAGCCCGGAACACCCGGCCCACCTCGCCGCCACCCGCCTCGTCGCCTGCGCAGCTGCCCGGGGTCGACGGCGACCCCCAAGCGCTGTGGATTTTCGGGTATGGCTCCCTGGTGTGGAGGCCCGACTTCGCCTATAGCGACAGCCGTGTGGGCTTCGTGCGCGGCTATAGCCGCAGGTTCTGGCAAGGAGACACCTTCCATCGGGGCAGTGACAAGATGGTGAGCATCCGATCATGCCCCGGGGAATAAGGGGTTGGGGTGCGGTCAGAGTAGTGGGCGCTGATGCCCTGGAATGTCCGGGGCTCTCTGGGCAGACTGTGACTCCTTGCTGGTGAGGGATATGTGTAACTGTGCCTGGGGTTTGTGGCTTAAATTTGTGTGCCCAGTGGATCACTCACTGTGCGATGGCTTGAGTCGGTGATCCTGTGGATCACCGTGTTGATGAATATTTCTGATTACCGGTCTGGGCCACTACCACATATCCAATTTTCGTACATCCATGCATCATCACTCCTTCCACTTTTTCTGGCTCCATTGGGGCTCTCTGAGGCCTGGGTTGGCAGGGTTGATAAGGTTTTCCTCTGGCACTGATGGCAGAGCTGATTTTTAACTTGTCTTTTTCAAACTCTTTCTTCCCTTTCTAGCCTGGTCGTGTTGTGACCCTCCTTGAAGATCATGAGGTAAGTGCCTGAGTGAAGAGAAGGACTCTGGGGCCCAGCACGAAGGGGTGTGGACAGACAGAGCTTATGGGTCCTTGGCTGCAGGCTAGATTAGATGTCCCTCTGGTTGAACGGAAAGGTGGTCTAGCTCAGTGCTTCTCACAATAACCTCCTCAGAGCCTGACACTCAGATTCCTAACAAGCTTACAGGTGATGATACTGGTTCTCAGACCACGCTCTGAGTAGTATTCTTGTTCACCCTGGGGCTAGACCACCTTGTCAACCCTTGTTAAGAAAGGGAAAATGAGGGCTTGATGTATTATTACTAGATGGCTCATCAGCCCTCCTTTCATCTCCTTAGAGAGCATAGTCCTGGGGTGGGACCTGCAAGGAACTATTGTGACTGACCCTGGTGCCCATGTTTCCTCCTAGGGCTGCACTTGGGGTGTTGCATACCAGGTGCGAGGTGAGCAGGTGAGCGAGGCCCTGAAGTACCTGAACGTGCGGGAGGCAGTGCTTGGAGGCTATGATACCAAGGAGGTCACCTTCTACCCCCAAGATACTCCTGACCAACCACTCAAGGCACTGGCCTATGTGGCCACCCCACAGAACCCTGGTTATCTGGGCCCTGCGCCTGAGGAGGCCATTGCTACACAGATCTTGGCCTGCCGTGGTTTCTCCGGTCACAATCTTGAGTACTTGCTGCGCTTGGCAGACTTCATGCAGCTCTGTGGACCCCAGGCACAGGATGAGCACCTGGCAGCCATCGTTGATGCTGTGGGCACCATGCTGCCCTGCTTCTGCCCCACCGAGCAGGCTTTGGCACTGGTCTGAGGGGCTGAGCCCTGGCAGGGAGTGCCTATGTTGTCGTGGGGGCCAGGTCCCCACTCCTGTGCACAAAGACAGACTTGATACAACTGGAGCCCAATGAGAGGACTCGTGGGCAGCAGGCGTTTCTCTACCTAAGCCCTTGCCTGTCCGTCAACCTCCAGCTCTCTCCTGCCTGATGCTGACTTACTACTTGAAACTTTATTTATTGCACCATGTTGGTGTTGTGGGCAAGGTGAGGGGCCTGCCCTGGACGTAGGGGCTCTGCTGAGTGGTGCCCCACCCTAGGCACCTGGTGCCTGACCAGATTCCCCTCAGTGCTGCTGCTAACCCCACACCACCCAGGCCTCCAGCTCCCCAGGGAGCCTTCAAGAGCCTTGACCCTCTGCCCTCGACCCCCAGATCAATCTTTCCCTAGCCCCGGAAGTACCACCTAAGAAAGGTCTCAGCCTGCTGATGAGGGACAGGAGGAAGTACGGAGAAGGGGGCCTTGTAGGAACTGAGTCCCCTGTTAGCCCTGCTTATTCCCCAGGTCCCCAGGGCAAATCTGGGTCTGGAGCCAGATCTGGGCCTAGGCCTCTGAGCCATTTGGCTTTGCTTCCCTGTCCAGTGTGTCTGGGCCAATCCTGTCTGTCTGTTTGTCTATTGGTAGGAAGCTTATTACTATAGGCCCTGGCATCATCCCAGTCTGTCCCATAATATTATCCATAAACTGATCTCTTATTATCTGTGCTGTGCTGGAATGTGGTTCTTTCTTCATGTGGGTTGGGGTGAGTGGGGTTTGAAGTCCTGGAAGCCTCATAAAAGGGGAAAGGACTCTCTCTTCATCTCCATCCCTCACTCCCAGGGAGTGGGCAGCTCAGCAGGCAAGGCTGCCAGGCTACACCACTCCTATGGGCACCATTCATGTCTTGTGCACACAAAGAACACCCCTGAGTCATGCAGAAGTCAGCCCATGCAGCTGTACTTGGCAGCCCTGTGAGCAGGGTCTTTGCCACCGACCTGGTACCTGGTATCTCCTCCTAGCTGCCCTGAGGGGGCTGGCAGACTTGGAGCTCAGACCAGGTCTTCTTCCTCCAGTTGCAGGGCCAGCTGCCACCTCTTCCTGACAGTGAGGCTAGACCCCTGGCTTTCTGCTAGAGGAACATGTGGGTTAGGGTGGGGTGCTGACAACTTCTGGGACAATGCTGACAGCAACTCCTGTGGTCTGGAGGGCCTGGTGGCCCGTTGACTTTTGAGGTCTAGGTGTTCACTGTTGCTTCCTGGGGTTGTGTCTCTCTTATCCTGACTGCCAGGACTCTTCCACAATGGAATGAGTTGCTGAGATACCCTCTGGGCTACTGCTTGTTCATCCCCTGGCTGCCTCGGACTACTCTTCACTGGCCCTGGCTCCCAGGATCTCATCCTGACCCTGGGCTCTGAAAGTGGGAATGGCCCTTCAGTGGGCTCAGCCTCTGCTTCTGGACCTGCAGAATGGGTGTGGGGCCCTGATGAAAGGCTTTAGCAGCAGAAGAGCCTGGCTCCGACCCAGCCCCTTCCCACACTAGCCCAGCGACCTCCAGAAAAGTATTCAGCCCTCTGAGCACTAGTTTACACTGGAACGCTGTGTGGTATCTGTTGCTGCTGCTTTTATTGTGGCTGGTGTCCTGGATTGGTCTGGGTGTCCCCGGCAGGGTCAGCTCTGACCAAATTGGTCAACGTTGTGCCTGGGGAAGCTGCCCATGTGTTGGCAGACTCGTGTCTTGGCCATTGATGGGAAAAGTGTGGAGTCCAGCCAGACTCTTGGGAGCTCAGTCAAGAACAACACAACAAGAGGAGACAACGGGTGGCAGGAAGCCCTGGGCGGCCGCCTCTCGGGCCTCCTGTGCAGAGGCAGGGCCAGGCAGTCAGTCCCGGTGCTTGGAGCAGAGCCCTGCTCTATACCAAATGTAGGTGGGGAGGGCTGCTTACTAGTTGCACATGGGTTCAAATTCTTCAAATCATTCATTCAACAAGTATTTACTAAGCTGCTCTAGGCCAGTTACCATTCTAGACACTGGGGGTACAGCAGTGAAGGACTCCTTCTCCTCAAGGAACTAGGAGCCTAGAAACTCTGAATGGTGACTCTTCAGTATGAAATGTGCTGTGATGAGAGGATAAGAGGGCACCCAGCTTAGGAAGGGCTCCTGGCTTGGTGGGGGTGGTCAGGGAAAGCTTACTGGGGGAGGGAATAATGAGGCAGAGCCCTGAGCTTGAGAAGGGGTCTTAAGTGAACAGAAGCAGGGAATAGATTGTGCTCGTGGGGGAAGCAAGGTCAGATCAGCTGGGACAGAGTGGTGTGGGGGAGGGGATACGGGCTGGACAGGTGGCAGGACTGCATCCTGCATCCTGCATCCTGCTGACCGGCCTGGTGAGCCGTGCTGTGGAGGTGGCATTCTTCCTGTGTCAGTGGGGTCCCTCTGTGGACTCTGGGTGGGAAGAGACAGCTTAAGAAGGAACACTAGCTGCTGTGCCAGATTGGAGGAGGAAGGCCAAAGGGAGGCCGGGAGAGGTGAAGGTGGCCTGAGCTGAGGTGTGGCAGTGGGCATGGACAGGAGGGTGGATTTGAGAGCAGGTTAGGGAGTGAGGTCAGCAGGATTTGGTGTGGCTGGTGATGAGGAAAGTGAGGGAGGAGCAGAGGGCCAGGGTTCAGAGTTGGAAAGGGCGGGGGTAAAGACTTGTCCCGTGTTAGAGTGTTTGAGTTGGGGGTGCCAGTGGCATCCATGTGGATATTCAGGAGACAGCTGGATAAGTGGGTCTAGGACTCAAGAGAGAAATCTGGGCTGGAGTTAGAGACTGGGAGCCATGCATGTTGAGACGGGGCCTGAAGTCTTGAAAGTGGAGAGAAAAAAGAACAGGGTCTGGCCCAGCCCAGAGGATCCTAGACCTGGTGGCCTGAGCAAGACAAGAACAGTTGAGAACAAGCAGCTCTGAGGTGGAGAAGAACCAGGAGGGCCAGGGTCATGCTGCCAAGATGTCAAGGACAATATGGACAGGGGTGTCCATTAGGTGAAATGCTGGGGATGCTTGGCCTCAGTGAGAGCAATTTCAGGAACAGTGGTGGGAAGCCAAAGATGGGGGATAGATACAGCTCTCAAAACACTTGGCTGCTAGCAGGGGAGAGAAACAGAGAAGCAATGGAGTGTCTGGGGAGGGCATAGGTGTCTCAGGACTCCTTTACAAATTAAAAATTATTGAGGCCTCCAAGAGCTTTTGCTTATGTGGGATATAGCTATTGACAACATTTAGTGTATAAGAAATTGAGAAGTTTAAAACATTAAATTCAAAATAAAATAATATATCCATAACATGTTAACATTTTTAAAGAAAAATGACTCTATTTTCCAAAACAAACAAATTTAGTGAAAAGGGTGGCATTGTTATATATATATATTTTAAAGATGTTATTATTGGGGAATTGGGGGAGGGGAACAGACAAGTTGCTGTCCTTTTGTTCTTCAGTCTAGTTGTGGAGGATGCCACTTCACTGGCCTATGTCAGTATTATCATTGTGCTCTTCCCATGAGAGGCAGTCGCTCACCTGCCATTGGATGGCGGCTCACGGCAGCTCACAAGAGCTCACGCCTGCCGGCGGCCAGCCCCACTGCAGCCTATGCCATCGCTGGCGACTCACGGCAGCTCGGCTCCAGGTCGAGCTGTTGTTCACCATCTTAGCTGTAGAGGGCGCAGCGTCACTGGCCCTCATGTGGAATCCGAACCCGGGCCCTGCTGCTCAGAGCTGGCGTCCCAAGCGAACTCCTAACCAACATGCCACTCGGCCGGCCCATATATATATATATATATTTATTTTATTTTTTTTTCCTTATGTATTTTTAATGTCTGACCATGGAAGTAGCTGGATTCTCATCTGCTTTTGTATTCAATCTTTAGCAAATCCATATAACATATAGCTCTGGAAAACTCCATTGTACACTCATGAGGAAATGAGAGTAAAAAGGCAAATAATCTGTTAGTATTATTGTGAAAATAGTTTTGACTTTACAGAGCCTCAGAGAGGGTTTTAGTAACTGCCCAGGGGTCCCTGGGCCGTTTTTGAGGGCTTCTGGTGTAGGATCATTAAAAATTTTTTTGGTTTCATTTCTTTTTTAGTTGGAGGGATTCAAGCAGGGTGATGTGTGGGTGCCCAACCTTAGGTTGCAGCATTAAGGAGTTTCAGAGTTAGCAGGAACCTCAGAAATCATCCCGTCCATCCCTCAAGGGCATCCTTCTGAAGGACAAGGAGTGGGTAGGAATGAAGGACAAGGAGTGGGTAGGAAGGATCAGCCAATTCAATCCCCGTTTACTGAGTCTAACAGGGCCACAGCGCCCTGGACCTCCAGCTGTGGGAGACAGTCAAACACAGAATCATCCTAAAACCTAGTCTCAGATAAGGGCAACTCCAGGAACTCAGGGGATGGGGCAGAGGTGGTCAGGTGTAGGAGGGCCTTAAAGAAGCCACGGGAAGGGCAGCTGAGTGGCTTGTTGGTTAAGAGTTGGCTTGGGAGCATGAACTCTGAGCAACAGGGCAGCCGGTGGTTTGGATCCCATATGGGCCAGTGATGCTGCGCCCCACATGGCCAGTGACGCTGCGCCCTCTACAGCTAAGATGGTGAACAACAGCTCGACCTGGAGCTGGGCTGCTGTGAGTCGCCGGTGATGTTGTAGTCTGCAGTGGAGCTGCAGTGGGCTGCTGCAAGCTACCATGAGTGTCTGGCAGCCAGTGTGAGTGGCCGGCAGCCGGCGTGAGCTGCTGTGAGCCACTGTGAGTGGCCGTCCAAGGGCTGGTGACTGATCTGCCTCAGCCAGGAAGAGCGCAATGATCACAATACCAACATGGGCCAGTGAAGCAGTGTTCTCCACATCTAGACTGAAGAACAAAAGGACAGCAACTTATCTGTTCCCCTTCCCTGATTCCCTAGCATTATTCCCTCCCCCAATTCCCCAATAAAATCTTAATAATAATAATAATAATAATAAGCCACAGAAATCCACCAGGTAGAGGAGGCATTTCAGATGTGTGAATATGGCTCCAGCAAAGGAGGGAGGTACACAGTTTGGCAAGTAGCCATGTGAAGCGGGGGAGCCTTGGGGTGCTGAAAGCTACTTTGGAGTCAGTTCATGGAGGAAGTGGTAGACTTTGTCTTACAGGGAAGCTGAGCTCTGTGGTGATGTTTTTGTTTTTTCATGTGTTTTTCCTCCCACAGAAGGGTCATAGTTTGTTTTTGTTCTTTTTGTTTTGTCTGCTTGTCAAGCAAACATGGTGTTCATGCCTGGGTTTAAAGGGGCTTGTGCTTGTGGTAGGGGAAAGATAATTTAAAAGCTGCAAGACCTGGGGGGCGGCAGCTGCAACAGTCCAGGAAGGTGTGGGGGAGGGCTGAACCAGGCACTGGGGATGTGGGGACCGCTAGTAGGAAATGGGGGATAAACAGGAGGAAGGAGACTGGGGATCCCATGGTTTTGCTGAGAGGGAGCATGGACAGTGTAGGGGACGTGATGAACACCATTCTGGGCTGGCAGGTTCCTAAGGGTTCTTCAGGTTATCCCCCCCACCCCTCACCAGCAAGGGCCACATGCCTCTGGGGGCTGTCACTGCCCTGAAGACAGTGGAAGCAGCCATATCAGTCATCAGAGAAGCAGGAGATATGGGGAGACGGACCTCAAATGGGAGAGACCTCGCCTTTCTCCAGGCCTGGCTCTGAGGAGGGTTG